AGGTTTAAGTCGACGATTTTGCATTTCATGGAAGACCTCTTTGTATTTCAGGCGTTGTTTTAGTCGGTTCACGGTCATGTCGTTACGATTGCTCAATCAATCTGACCCCAATTTCATCTCATCTCAATTTTTCAGATAATTTCGTTGAATGGTATTTCTGGAATGCCGAGATTTCTTGGGCGATGCGATACTTTTGTTCCTCTACCTCTACTATCCCTTGGCATCATCGCCGACTATGAGATTGATGACCGACCTCATATCACAATCCCCTCTGATGTCCTTAAAGCTAGATTTCGTCCACATACATTTCGCCCCTCTGATGGTTTCACCCGAATCATGAATTTCTAATGTGCATATAATTTGCCTCCAGTTTATCCTGAGTGTATATGCCGTATTTTATAGAGTCGGGATACGACCGTAGACTGCCAGTCTTAATTGAACCTAATTTGCGAGGGAGCATATAATGTACAATAATTAGGGAGGCTGTATCCAAGTCGTCCTTGTAGGCGAGATATTTGGATGACTCTCATAATGACAGCTTCTGGAGATGAGACGAGAACAACAATGTGTGACCTTTGTCAAGTCGATTTATCCCCTCAAGATGTTCCCCCACAAGCTATGGCAAAATTTTTGTCTTTGAGTTAATTGTTTCGAGATTATTTTGGAGCTTTGCGTAGTTCATAAGGTATGCAGTAATACCATGAGGACGGTGAACATAAGCTTGGATCGCCTACTAATGTCTGCCGTTGATGAGATTGGCAAGTCAACAATCTCGTACATTCAGGTCTGTCCTCGATTTATTTATTGTACTGCACTTGTCGAAAAACGTTTTGAACAAAGGCTGGATCACAGACTTGCGCTTCTGCTTTGATATACGTCTTGTAAGGCGTATGACCTATTCTTTCATAATCTCACTGTCAGAGGAAACCATTTAGATGAGCGTCCAAGAAATGGTTCATAAACAAACACCAAACCAGCTGTAGATCAAGAACAAGAGCCAATATTATCATGGCCTGTTCGATCCCGTGGATTGCCCAGCGAATGCACGGTGATTCAACGGGGTCCACTACGATACCATTACCTAACCGGAAGGCACGACACGCGGCCAGGCCGTTGCCGGCCGTCGTGGGTGTTGCCAGTCGTCGTAGTTGTTGTCACCTGACTGGCCGCACCCTTATACACCTTTAATGCTAGGCACTTCACGGTATATGTACCTCAGGCACCAGGCACTTAACGGTGAATCCCTACGATGTAGTGATCCTCCAGATAATAATGTGAGCCCATCTGCGCCCCCTCTAGATTTTGCATGTACTAACATCTACGTTCGAGCTGCTTGCTGCGATCCTCTTTGATTAACAACCGGTATCCCCTAGGACCTCTGACACAACTCCGCTCCCTGAACTGGGACATCCAGCTCCGTTGGGTCCCAGCACACGTCGGCGTGCTAGGTATCGAATGAGCCGACCAGACCGCTAAAGAGGCAGCTGGCTCACACGGCAACACCTCCCAACCGATGCAAAAGATTCTAATGGCCGCTACGAAGCTCTTGATCTGTCAGGCCGTGTACAACGTATCCCGACATAACAAGACATGAATTGCGGATTAGTTATGTATGGATCTTTTGTTGCGATTGTTCGACATCCTAGCCCAGCTCTGAACTAATTTTTGATGAACAGGAACAACAGGTGACGACGATGATGAACGAAGCAATACCCTCCCTCACACACGGACTATGAACAGCGTCGTTTGACTCAGTCTCTCTGTCTCTTCCTACTTACTGATCCCTTCTCTTCCTTGGATCATTTCTCTTGGTGCCGGTGTCTACATGGACTCTGGCGTCGGAATACTGCAAACGGAGCATAAGTCTGTTATGTCCATGATGTTCGAGCCGTCATCGGCAGGATAGTGAGAGGAAACCGTTAAGAAGTACGTCCAAGATGGTAAGAAAAATATAGCCGTAGACAAGGAACAAAAGCCAATATAATGTGTCGATAACACGAACAAAAATAGCAGCCATGGACAAAAAAACGTACAGCAGCGGGTATTCGCTGGTCGTCACCGACCCAACTACTAATCCGCCGATTAATGGTTTGACTAGGGGAGAGCGGACGGGATCCCGTATTTTCCATTATCTATGGCCGTACGTGAAAGAAGTGAAATGAAATGTTTCCTTTATAGGAGGTTTTCGGTGAGGATGGCCACATCTCGTGATGCGGGAAAGACTTTGCAAGTACCTCGTTTGAATCGCTTTCTAATTACTAAAGTTTGAGAGCTAGAGCACAAAATATGAGCGGGCCTAATGTTGGTTGATATATGGCAAAGCAAGACATTGATACCTCTGACGCTTGATATAACATCTTTCGAGTTTCTCGTGTCTTATTTGAAGCGTGTCTCTCCGCGTCGGGTGTCGATGTCATGTGCCTCGTCTCTGATTCGCCTGTCTAAATGCGTTGTAGCTTAGCTCGTACTGGGTGCGTATCTCACGTTCCCTGTCTCGCATTGTCGTTTCTGCACGTTGCCGCCAAATAATGCCTCGCCTCGCTCACCTTGCCTTATTTCCTCATAACAAAAGTGCAGAAAAGTCAGCCTGACCTGCCCTGGCATTTACGAACCAAGATTCCCCCGCTTGACCTTTCGGCGATGTGTTCGTTGGGCATTCACAAGGATGGCCACGGCCCGCTTCTTCCTCCGGTTAAGGCGAGCGGCACGGGGAGGTCCAGCCGTTGGCTTTTAGCTTCGAGCTAGCTGCAACATGGCGCCAGCGGGCACGCGCAACGTCCCGGCGCGTTCGCAAAGGTGGTATTGCACAGTAATTACGCTCTGCAAACAAGGGAGAGCCGGGGGGGAACGGACAGGCAAACGGATCGAGAGTGAGAGGGAGATGACGAAAAACAGTAAAACCAATTCAACAGGAGAAGAAGGATAGGATCTAACAAGTCCGATGCCGTCTCATGTTTGACCGCGCGGGTCAGTTGTGTCGTATCCTCTGCCAGCGCTGTCGCCTGGACCATCGAGTCTTTGCTTGCAGCCCGTCTTGTTCGTTATGCTATTTGCTCAGTTTTATAAGCTGCCGCTTGCTTTCCGGGGCTGACGCGAATGGGACACGAAAGAGCGTATAGTCAAAGTGAGGCGAACACGACTGTCCATTGACCGTCTTATTGGCCGTAGGCAGCGCGGTCTCTCCGGTAAGCCGTTTGATTTGTGCCTCTCCATGTGCCCTACACAAAAGTGCATTTTGGAGACAGACTCTCGTTTTGATTTGAGGATACTTCGCTGAGCATCATTTTATAGCGAAAGAAGACTCAGGCTGTTTAACCTGCCGGTGAATAGAATGAGCGACCCTCAATTGCTATTGCAGCAAATTGTTGCACTTTCCTTCGCCTGCTTGCTTCTCCCCAACCTCTCTCAAGATGCAAGAGCGAAGGAGGTCGTTCTTGCTGAAATCGTGGTTTCCTCGCGCGCCGATCACGTGTGAATGGACGAGGGGCACGTCCATTGCGGCAAGTCCATGAAGGCTGGTCTTGTGCTTCAGGGCAGCAGGACAGAAAACAGAAACAGAAGGGGCGGCAGGAGCGGCTGATCAAGGATCACGGAAAAGGAAGCGACGTCTGCCGCAACTTCCAAAATTTTCAAATCTCGAGTTCCTTCGGTTTAATTTGCCTCCGCTGTCTGGCTCTCCCCTTTTCGTCTTGTTTACATTTTCACTTCACTTTCATACCTCTCTCTCACCACCAACGACGTCCGCACACCAACGCGAAAGGACGTATTCCGACAGGGTGCAAGTATCGAGAGCCGCTGCAGGCCATAGATTGTACAGCAGACCACCTTGCCTCGATTTGTTTGCGGAAACACGGAGCTCTATTTCTCCACCCCATTGCCGAGATCAAACCCAATTTCGACAGCGGACACTCTTTGCTCTGTCTGTTAACTGTCTCCTGTCTCTCGTGCTCGCGCGGCGTGGGCTTCTCTTAATCGCCTTCTTACTCCCCTTCTTCGTCCCCGTTCGGCTGCGACGGCGACTTTTACTATCAGCAATCGTGGTTTTTTCCCCTTTATCTTCTAGATTCTTTTTCATTTCTTTCGCCCCTGTATACGCAGGACTCTTTCTCTTTGCCATTTGCATCGTCGCGCCCCCTTTTTCATTTGTGCCCGTCTTCCCTTCCGGTGCATTGCATTGTGGCATTACTTCAACCGACTCCACTGCTGCCCAACACCTTTTGGGCCCGCTTACAGGTATGATGCTCCTCGTCTTCTCTTTGGCTCCTGCTCATCATCTACGCTCATGCAATTGCCCTCTTTTGGAGCGGGTGTTCATTCACTGGCTTCTTTTTCAGGGCTCTACCTCTTGTTGCAGTCGGGCTGTCTTGTGTCATTTTGTGCCTTTTTTGTGCCTTTTTTGTGCCTCTTTCTGTGTTCTGTTCCTCGTCTCCCTCCCCCTCTCTGACGTCTCCTCTTCCCCCCTCCTCCACCCAATGAGAATCGTTGTCACGACCTGCATTGGCCATCATGCAGCCGAATCTGGTCCAATCAACGCTAACAAGCCCCGTGCATCGTCCCACCAGACCACTCACACACAACCAGCTGGCAGAGACACATCCATCCGCCCACGTCCCAAATCTGCTGTCTGCGTTTTAGGGGAGGACGAAGAACAGGGCCTTTCTCACACAGGCATGATTGTCTTCCTGAGTGTTTCTCGACAAAAGTAAACCACCAACCTCCTGTCTACCAGTCTCACTGTCGCTGCAAAGCGACATCGACCGACATTTGCTTGGGCCTGATCCTTATCCACCCATTATTGGCGACAGCAAAGCACAGCAGCCCAAAGCCATTCAAAGCGACCCAACTCACCTTTTCCTCCCGTTGCTGCTTTCCGTCGTCCCTTTTCGCCCATTTGAGACTCTATCTTCCACCCTCGTTCTTCTCATTTTTTATCGATTTTTGATAGCGTCTCTTCGTTCCACGAATGTGCATATCGTGATTTGGGGCTGACGCCACTTCGAATGGCGCAGCTTGAAACCTTCGAGACGGGTGAGCATGGCCCTTATGCCCCGTGGTGGAAAATGCATCGCGGACACACTCGTTCTTGGCCACACGAAGAGGATGATTGGACCCGCATGGAACTGTCCTCATCCCGCCCATCGCCTCGCCACCGTTGGGATGAAATACATAGACCCGCCTACTCGGCCTACTCCGCTGCCCCCTCGTCTGTTGCTACGTCTCGCCAGAGACCGGCTGTGACGCGTGCTGCCACTCTGCTTCTTTCCTCACCGTCGGGCATGCGACACCACAGCTCTGATACCCCACTCATAGGTCGGCCCCCGGCCGTGCCGTCTTTTCCTCGGGCATCTACCGCACCCATTGGGAAAGCCGCCTTTGAAAATTACGACCCTCGCGCTCACCCTGGTATAAGCCGGGCTTCGTTGCACAGAGATCTCAGCCCGCGCTCCGCCGCCCCCTACTTCCGCTCTACTCCGGACTCCCGTCGGTCCATGCGCTCGTCCCTTAGCGAGTCGGACAACGATACTGATCTAACGCGGCCCACACCAGAAGAAGACGACAAGGACGAAGAAGACGACAAGGACGAAGAAGACGAAGACGGCCGTGCAGCCGACACCATTTTTGTCGACAAGAAGGCGCTACGCGACCGGATGGACATTCGCAAACGCCCATCCCAAGAATACCCCACGGCGTCGTCTATGAAGCAACATTCAGCACGGCAGAGTCAAAATCAAAAACAGAAACAACGTGGCCGCGTTCGAGGCGACGACCTGGATCTACATGAGGAAGGCGACGAGGTGGCTGTCGCTCAACAAGAAACGCAAGGCTTTCCACAGCGCTCCCAGCAGAAGCGGGGCCATCACGGACACCGCTCTCGACGGAGTAGCGGTAGCCGCGGTGCGGGCGGCGGCAGCAGTAGCAGAGGACGCAGATACGAGAGTGTGATTCCCGAAGAGGCCACCGAAGACCAGCAGGCCGATGCCGACGCAGAGATGGACAATGACGACTTTGACGACGACCGCCGCCGGCGACGCACACCTTCGAGACACACCCGGCGCTCAGCCTCCCGGAACACGACTGCTACGCACGATGTCCGTCGCGACCTGTCACGTAGTAAGAGCCGCCTGCGGCATGCCGACAGCGACGAGTTCAATCCGCGAGCGTCATCGAGACGGTGAGACATCCATTGTGTTCTTTTTTTGCTGTGCTCCCGACGTCGGACACTTTTTGTTGTCAAAGATACGTGACATGAGAAACTGACATGCGGCCTACGAATTTGTCGCTTTTGTGCCCACCCAATTGCAGACCTACAAAACGATACTGTGAATCGGAGTTTCCTGACCAATATGCCAATGGCCCTGCACATCTGCGGAGAGCCCAGACGCACCCCACGGCGCCCTCCCACGTCACGGCCCCCCCAAGCATTGACTCGTCGAAAAAGGCCCCCTCTTTGTTTGAAAGCCCTCTCGGCTTTGGAAATCATGCATTGCCTGCGGACAAGTCGAGTAAACGGTAAGTTTTCTTTCCACACGAATCGTCCGCCCACACACCATCACATTCATGTACATGCACAGTACACACATACATAGAAGCCTGCACGACGTACAGTATACATATCACGTCCCTCATACACTGGACACTCTCTGCTCCATCCTCCACTCCAGCCTGTACATTCCGCCCTTCATGTACACCACAGCCTGCATGCCGTTCCCGTCCGTACATCACATACACAGATGCCATGGGATATCCAACTCTGCTCAACGTCAAGCCACCCCCCGCCTTCCCCTCATACCGTATCGGCGGGTGTTTCTCCTTTTCAGCACACTCGCCCATATGGACTACTAGTACATGCTCCGTTTGCTGGTGGTTGCTTCGGGCACAGCCTACAGTTGCTGTTACCCCATACCTACCCAAAGACTCCGACCAAAGAATGTTGGACTGACGCTTATCTGCTTGTCCCCTTGCAGAAACCACTGCTTGGAATGCATGGACGAGTTCCCCCTATCGAGATTGGCTAAACTCAGCTGCGGCCATCGGATGTGCGCCACGTGCCTGAAGAAGAAATTCAAGGCCTCCATATCCGATAAGCGGCTAATGCCGCCGCGGTGCTGCACCATGGATGCCATTGCGCTCAAGCATGTCGAAAAGTTGTTTGACACTGGCTTCAAGCTGGCCTGGAACCACAAGTTCCGTGAGGTCTCGGTGGAGAGACGCATATATTGCCCGTCACCGAGTTGTGGCCAGTGGATCAAGGACGAAAACTTGTTTCGCGGAGAGGACGGCCGGCAGACGGCCGTCTGTGGCCGTTGTCGTACAAGCGTCTGTTGTTTGTGCAATAACAAGGCACATGCATCACGCGATTGCCCGCGTGATGAGAGGACAATACGCTTTCTGGCCAAAGTTGAGGGCCGCCAGACCTGCAACAGATGCAAGTCGGAAGTGGAGCTTGAAGAGGGCCAGAACCATATGATTTGGTACGTTATACGTTGTCTACTCTCGATTTTGTTTTGTTATTTGTTGTGAAGCCTTTACTGACGCCGCTCTTATTTCCAACGGGATAGCCAGTGCGGTGCTGAATCATGCATGATCTGCGGAGCAAAATGGGGGCATTGCGACTGCCAAGTATTTGATGTTGAAACAGACCGTGCTGGGTACGGCCATCTTCCATATCCGCCCACCAATGGTTCTCGGTATGATCGGTTTGGCTCAGCACCGGCGATTGCCACTAGGGATTTCCGTCCCAGCAATTCTGGTGGGAGCCGGCCCTATTCAGCAGGCGAAGGTATGCGGTCCCGCCCGCAGAGCAGCTACGAAGACAAATCGCGTGCTCGTTCGTATCGCGACGACTATCGAGCTGATACCCACCGGGACAACGACCTGGCCCGGCGCATGGAGGCATTCGGAGGACTCGGGGATGATGACGACACGATGGATGCCTTCAGCTCAGCTATCAAAAAGGCACGGCTTGATCGATATGCGAGACGGCATGCCAACGACGACGCAGGTGCCCCCGTCCATCGTAGAAGAAGTTTTATGGAAGACAAAGATTACGACCGCGACGAAAGCGACGACCGTGACTACTCTGCCCGGGCAGCGGCGGACATTCTTCCCTCCGCACCGCATCCTCCACCTGCTCCCCCGACTCCGCCACAGCAACAGGCACAAGCTCAAGCCCAATCCGCACAGCATCGCTACCAGCACCAGCAGCTCCAGCAAACCCACCCGCCTCCCCCGCCTCACCCACCATATCCATCACTTCAACAGCACCAGCCACTTCACCCGATTCACCCGCAACACGATCGATTTGAACTACATGAGCAACTCGAACATCAACGAGCGCCACCGCCGCCTTCGCAGTATCCCACTACGACATATGACCGCCCTGCCGCGTCGATGGACTTCTACACAAGCGGGCCAAGCCGTACCCGTGCTGTTACCACAGACTCAGAGGTGGGCCGACTGGCAAACCGCTTCAACACAGAGTCCAGGTCTGGTCCGATGCATCGACCAAAGGCACCACCGGCTCTTACCGGACCGCCTATGGCGACAGGTGTGTCTCATGGTGTGCCAATGGGGGCAGGTGGCGGGATGGGAGTTATGCCGATGGGCCCGATGTCTCCAAACGGTCCTATGGCACCCTTGCCTCCTATGATGCCGATGCAGGGACCACCCCCGCCGCTGATGCCGCCTCCACTTATGGGCTCCATGCCAATAATGTCCATGGCACCCATTCCTCACCCGAGTATAATGCCGGAAATACCCATGATGCGCAGGCACCTGATGGAAGAGGACATGTTCATGGGCCACGAGCCGCTACAACGTGGAGGGTCGTTTGAGCAGGTTCCGTTTTCTAGTTATCCCGTGGAAGATGAGTACGCCTTCAGTTCTGGTGCGGGCGGACGTCGCCACCGGCGCCGGGACGAGGACGCCTCGCACGCACAGGAAGCGCGCAGGTCTGAAATGGCTGGCCTTGCCGGCCCTGGCCGTGGCATGGACCGCGTAGCAGATTGGATGGAGTTTGTTGGTAACGAGCCACCTGGCAAAGATTCCGACAGCGTACTCAATCCGTGATGCAGCTGCATTACTCTGGGCGCACTATTTGCGTGTGATTTGATTGTCTCGTTGATTTGCCTTTTCTGCCTCGTTGTCTTCTTTTGTTGTCTTCGCCTCAAAATTTTTCACGGCTTTGAAATTGCCGGCGGCGAAAACATTTATATATATATATATATCCCATATACTGCCTACTTTTGGTTTGCATGTGGCTCCTGGATTGGCCCGGCGTTTTATCCCTTACTGTTAACTTTTATCTTCACGACATTGATGATTTTGGATTTACATTTGGTCTTATTTTGGGATCTACTTTTGGAGACGTCTCGCTCATATTTGAGGCCAGAGAAGCATTGGGGTTGACCTGTATCATTAAACCATTCAACGACCCGCAAGCTGCGGATATCACGACACTTCATTCCATAGACGAGAATCTATACTACTGACTGAAGAAGAAACAAAGTACAATGCAGACGCACACATATATATCGTGCAATTACTGCAGACTATCGAGATGTACAAGCGTTTAATCTTCACAGGATGAATCTGCCAAAATTATAAGTGCCATTGAAGAGAATATCTACTAATCGTCGCCGTATGGCGTCTTAATTGCAACAATGGACCATGGTAACACAACGCCTTCCTTCCAGGGATATCAACGCTAAACAAATGAGGTGCAAATGGGAAACATGGGAAAAGAGGTGAATTGAGGACGAGGGGCAGAAATAAAATACAAACAAGCCTCGGCTGTCCATACCAAACGGCTATGCATGCAGACAACAACCGACGCCTGATCCAGCCTCACTCAGCGTAGTCCTTGACTAGCCCTGCGTCCCACGCAGAATCTCGTAGATGTCCTCGTTCATCACTTGGTTGTTACCATATGCACTGTGGCCCATGCTGGAGCGTGCGTGATGTTGTTGCTGTTGTTGCTGCTGCTGCTGCTGCGGGGGCTGTTGGTACTGGTGATGCTGCGGCAAGTGGTTGTGCATGTTCTGCTGGGTCTGCGGCTGCTGGTAGCCACCGGTACCGCCGGCGGCAGTGTGTCCGTAGCCAGCGCTATTGGCAGCACCGGAAGGCGTGCGCGTTCCGGACCGGATGGCAGCGCCAGCAACAGCAGCAGCAGCAGCAGCAGTAGTAGTATTATTGTTGTTCTTGTTGTCGTTGCTATATGTCTGTTGGGTAGTGGCTCCATAGGCTGCGACGGGCGAGTGTCTCTGGCTCTGCGGCTGCTGTTGGTGCTGTTGGGTCATTGTGGCTGTTCCATAATGGGACCAGGCGGCTTGCTGCGCAGCCGTGTCCTGGTGGTGCTGTGCGGACTGGTGCTGCGGCAGAGGCTGGCGGGGAGCAGACTGCTGCCGCTGGCGGCCCTGTGGGTAGCTTTGTTGCCGCTGCTGCTGTTGCTGCTGTTGCTGCTGTTGCTGCTGATGTTGTTGTAGTGTGGCCGATGCAGCATATGCGTTTGGGTCGGCCGTCGTGCCGTTGTTTCGTCCAAAGTCGCCGTATTGGTTGTAGCCCGTTGAAGTGTCCGCCGTCTGACCAGCGGCCTCGTTGGGCGCTTGTGTGCTGTACGTTGCGGTTGTCCTATCGTTGTAGCCGTTGTAGCCGTTGTTGCCGTTGTTTCTGTTGTTTCTGTTGTTTTTGTTGTTTTTGTTGTTATAAGCTGATAGGCTGGGACTGGCCTGCTGCGCGTTGATCAGGGGCGGCGACAAGACGGATGCGGCGTGTTGGTTCCGCTGCATATTTGCACTGCTCGACGTGTGGCTGTATTGTTGCTGCGGCGGCTGCTGTGGCTGTGTCGTCCGCTGGTAGGCACTGTAGGAGTTGCCGGACTGCTGATCCCCGGTACCCGCGTCGTATGCCATTGTTGACTGGGCGCTTTGGACACTTGGCTTTGTTGCCGGCGCTGGCGTGGCATCCTTCTTTTTCCGGGATGCACGCGACTTCTTTGCCGACCCCTTTGTCGGCGCATCTGCTGCTCCTGCTGCTGCTTCTGCCGCTGCTGAGGTAGAGGCCGTGGTGGACACAGCCGCCTGCGGGTAAGCCGTAAGAGGTAGGGGCACTGGTGACACGTTTGTCGGTGCCACATATGACTGTGCTGGGGTCTGGGCGCTTGCACTTTCTACGACAGCGGCAGTGTTCTGGTGCGCCTTGTTCGCGGTCGACTTTCGCCGCTGTGGCGTTGGCTTGGCGGCCGGTGATGCTGGCGTGGCTGTCTGTGGAAGTGGTATGGCTGTTTGGTGCTGTGGCGGCTGCCAGCTCGAGGCGGACGCATTGCTGTCCGTGCTGCGGAGGCCAGGTAGAGCGACGCCTGTTGTGGGCGTGGCAGTCGCGTTATTTACCGCGCCACCGTCCTCGGTCTGTTTCTTCTTGGCTGCCGGCTTCTTGCCAGGCGACTTCTTTGTCTTTGTAGCATCCGCGACTGGGGCTGGAACTGGGCCTGGAACTGGGGCTGGGACTGGGACTGAGACCGGGGTCGATGTTGCAGCCGCTGCCGGAGCAGGCGAGGGCGAATGTGTCTTGTTGGCGTTCTTGTCCGCCGGCACAATGGCCAGGCGCTCGGCACCATAGTGCGCCAGAAGCTCCAACGACTCCTTCTGGAGGGCAGGGGCCTGGTTCGCAAATGTGCAGAACTGGTCGTGCGTCAGCGTGCCCGGGTCGACATTGCGGCTCGTGAGCAGCCTGATGGCCGACAGCTTGCGTATCGTAGACACCTCGGCGTCCGTGACCGTCTGATACGGTGCCTTGCGCGTGTTTGTCGTAGTGGCCGATGCATCCGTGACCGGTTCTGCTGGTGGTTGTGCTGGTGGTGCTGTTGTCTCGGCATGGTCGGTTCCACGCGGCGCTGCTGCCGAGCCTGACGCGGCGCTGTGCTCAACAAGGGCATCCATCATGGCTGCTGCTGTCTCCGTGTTGTCTTCCGGGTAGTCGTTCAGATGTCGCAGTAACGCCTCCGCCATCTGGCTTTCGTTCAGATCGGTATCGTGGCCAACATCGATGCCCAGGTCCATCATCATATCCGTCGCCGCGGATGCAATGGATGAGACGCCCTCCGCCCCGCCAACGGCTGCCGCGCTTGCTCCATCGCCTGCAGTGCCGCCGACCACGGCTGCCTGGCCGGCCTCGCCTTCTTTGCCCTTCTTCTTCTTTTCCGACGACTTCCTCGGCTTCGTTGGCTTCTTGGGCGCCCCGTTGGCCGTCAGCTCCTGGCCTTCCGGGACGGGCCCGTCTGCCACAGCACCATTTGCCGACGCCTTTTTCTGCCTCTTCTTCTTGGGCTCGCCGCTCGTCGTCGCCGTCGTCGCCATCGTCTTCTGGCGCTTGTTCGCCGAGCCGGGCGTCGCAAGGGGCAGGCCGATCGGCGATGGCGGTCGTGGAGGCGGGAACAGCGCTGCCAGCTGCGACACGCTGCGGTGGAAGTTGGTGTGCTCATACGTGACGACAACCGACCGGCTGAAGCGCGAAAACGAAAATATGACGACGCCGCGGCAGTCGTACGCCGGGCGGGACAGGCTCAGCGGGTCCTGCATGTCCTCCAGCGCCGACTGCCCCACGACGCGCGACCGTTTGTGTGCCTGGTGCCAGCACGCCATGGAGTTTTGGCACACGTACGGTATGGTCCACCCTTGCGTCGCTTTTGTCGGTTCCTGCGCCGTCCACGTGCTGCCGTCCGCCTGCCGCACCTGGATGATCAGGAACGCCGCCACCGCCCGCTGCAGCAGCGGGTTGACCTCCGGTTGGCTCATGACCACCTCACGCACCGTCACAACGTTGCGCAGCACGCCGCCCGCCAGTGCACCACCCCGTATTGCTGCTACCACGGGATCGTTGTCTGACCCGCCGTTTCGTTGTCTGCTGCTGCTGCTGCTGCTGCTGCTGCTGCTGCTGCTGCTGCTGTTCGTCTGCCTGTTGCTGCGGCTGGGACGCCAGCGCGTCGCCCAGGTTCAGCACCACCTCCGCTGGAACGTCAAACGACGCCGAGACGTGCTCCGCGTGCATCTCCGACACTTTGCCCGCAAACAGTGCCGTGATCCGCGCCTTGAGCTCGTCGACGGACCGACACGTGTTGTTGCCGCTGTCACCGCGCCCGTGCCCGAGGCCTTCGCCCGCCTCCCTCAGGAGCGCCTCCATCGTGTGTTGCTGTCGTCAAAGTGGCAGTCCTCTTCGCCTTGTCTGTCGTTTCGTGTTGTTGTCGTCGAAATCGTCTATTGTCTGCGGGCCATCCCCCTGGCGCAACACATCCTCGACATTTGTAAAGTATGCGAAAGCGAAAACAAGTCGGGGCTGACGCTGCTCACATCGTACTGGGGGTTGCGCCGTCGAGCGAGCAGGCGGGGACTGGGGGGGGGGGGGGTTGTGCAAAGCTCCCGCTTGTGTTGTTGTTTGCGGTTGATTGTGGGATGGCACATTTGGTCGTTGGCGATGGTAGCGAGCATACCGCGTGTCGATCGCTCTTGCTCTATCGGTAAATGTAGCTCCTTCCCGTTCTTGGCGCCCGCTAAACGACCCACTAAAACAAACAGAAAGTGCCTGAGCATGAAGAAACAGCAGTAGCGACCAGTGGAGTGCGGGGCCTTGTTATCGGCCTACGGAGCCTTCTATGAAGAAGCTTCTCTTCAGTGAGGGCAACGGCCAGCAATGGAAGGGCTCTCTGCACCGCATTTGCTTCAGTACTTACTTCTCATAATTATGCATCCCCTTCTTGAAGGGCAGTACGTCGCACGGCACATTTTTTCTCGAGTAAATAAATAGGCCCATCATGTTTCTCAGATGTCAAGTACGTTCATGCGCTGTAGATGTAGACTGGATCATTGCCTATCTATCGCTGCTCAATATCCTCAATCTATCATAGTGTCTGTCCAGACTGGAAGAAATAAGCTCAAGGTATTAATTAAAATGACATTAAAATGAGATGTATGTCGCTTGTGATGCATGTAAATGGTTCGAAAGCAGAATGAAAGTAGAAGAACAAAAACAAATGTGAAAACAGCAACACCGTGCACGCGTGCTCTGAGTATCGCAAGGTAGTCGTAACAAGTGAAATGAGGAATGTGGTATCATAAAGGGGGACAATGAGGAGAAAATGAAGTAAAGAGATAAAACGTAAAACCGTTTAAAAAAAGTAGACGAAAATGGGAAGAGATAGCGCCTGCGACCGGCCCTCAGACTTCTCCCATGTCGACGTTTTCCAGCCACGACTGCACGGCACTGCGCAAGACGCTGGGGGCTTCTTTGTCGCCATCGTCCTTGGAGGATGTGGCCGGGTGGTCGCGGAGTCCGTCGTCGGCCTGGTCGTCTCTGTCTTTGCTCTGCACAACGTCGCGCACAATCTCTTCGAGCGCCGACAGGATCACCGTCTTGCACTCTGCGCGAGGCACCTCCTCCAGCCCAAGCGGCGTCAGAGGCGAGAAGGGTGCCGTGGGTGACGGATTCACATAGCGTGGACGTGCGGGTGGGTACGGTTCGTCCGGCCCGACCGACGAGCTGTCACGTCGCCCACGCCGGATGCTTGCCGACCGCGACGACCGCGCCGAGTTGTCTGTGCTGAGGCCGCTGCTGTCGACTGTACTCTCTCCGCTGTGGATGTTGACGTGCTCAAAGCTACCGCCAACACCAGCACCTCCGACGCTGCTCACGCCGCCGCCGGCGCCAACAGCACTTGCGCCGCTACCTGCGACGCCCTGTGCAATGACGCGCTCAAGGGCCTTGGTCAAGACGCTGTCCGTCGAGACAATCGGCGTTTCCACAAAGCGCTCGTCCAGCTGCTCCATCTCCTGCGATGGCACCGTCGTTGGCAACGACGCGGTGACAGGCGTCGGAGGGCTGTTGGCACTGTTCGGCGTCGACACGTCCGGCGTCGCCTTGGGCCGCACCAGCCGGCTGTAGCTCACACGCGTAATCGTCAGCTTTGTGGCATCCACAACAATGGCGCTCGAAATGTCGGCCCAGCGTTCGCCGAGGTGCGCCGTCGATGGCTGGCCGCCAGTTTCGGGCTCAAAGGCATACCCAGACGAAGAGGCTTCGGTCCGCATCGACTCCTTGATGTGCGCCATGAGATTTCCCTGTGGCGGGATAGCCTGCAGACAGAAATCCGGGTGGTAGTTCTGGAGCCAACCAGCCACGTTGGCAGGGAGATCGCCGTCCACGGATACGCGGCATGACTGCTCGAACGCATCCAGGCCGCTTCCAAATCCAGGCGTCGACAAAAATCCGCTGCTCGATGGCGAGCTAACGGCAGTCTCAAACGACCGGATGTAGTCTGGGAACGCAATGTCCACGTCAATAACACCGTCGTCCGCGCTGGCCGTTGCTTTCACTGGCGAATCAAAACCGGCGTCCGGTTCAGGCGCCCGCCGGAACGAGTCGATGCCAGCAAACGTGCTACCAACGAGGTTCGGGCTGTCGTGTGAGAGCCGGGGTGTATGCGGGTCGATAGCCTCCTCGGCGTGTGGCCCTGTTCCGGACACACCATGGCTAGCATGCTGGCCTGCCGTGACCTTTGCTTGCCGGGATGCCGTATCCTGCTGTGGCTTTCTCGGGGACGGCGGCGGCAACAGGCTATTTCTTCTGCCGAGTGGGTCCCAGGACGTGATCGACGAGTTCCGACTGTGTCTACCGCCACCGCCGCCGCTGCCGCCGCCAGTGTTGCTTGATGTGGAGTCGCGCCGGCGGCCACTGAGAAAGCCAGTCAGCATGCTGCCCCAGCGAAGGCTCTGGTTGCGGGTGTCTGAATCCAGGCCGGGGGAGGTAAGGCCCTGCTGCTGCTGGAGAGCCGAAAGGGCACCCGAAAGGGCACCACTACCTTGCTGGCTCGTGGTGCTGTCGCCCCGCTGCAGCGTGCGCTTTAGATCATCTGCCGCAGCGCTGCTGGCGCTGCTTTCGGGCCTCACCGAGAACGTGGAGTCGGAGCGTTGCATGGTTGCAAAGTGTGGCACAGTGGCGTCTGACGTGACTGTGGTCATGGTCGCCGCACTGCTCTTTCGTGTGGTGAAGTCATTTCCGGTGAACGGGAAATTGGCCGTGCGAATGGAGGCGGTATCAGACGGCCGTCGCTCGTGCTGGCCTCTGTGCAGGTTCAGGTGTGCAAGGGGGGCGGGCACACCGGTCACAGACATGGATGCGGATCGCGCTGGAATGCCGCCAGGGATGGCTTGTCCCTGGAGACTGAGATTGCGTGAATGCGACGATCGCCGGCCACTCCCGCCAGGGCCGCGGCGGTTGATCTTCCGGCGCAACGACTGCTCTTTGATGATGGGTACAACAAACGAGGCCGGGGGCGACTGGGACAGAGCACCCCAGGACATGGACGTGCTGGGCCGATGGACCCGCACCGAGTTGGTGACAGTTTGGCTCGCTGGAAGGAAAGCGGATAGGAGAAACACGAGGCGCCGGGCTGCAATCTTGTCTCTGGAGACAACGATGGTCCGGGCGGACACAGAATCGTCGTTGTTCTTGGAAGACTGCAGCATGAGGTGCCGCTTGCGGTAGCGTGCAGGACTTAGAGCCTGCAGCCAATCGGTATGGGTCGAGAGGAACGCCGTCAAAAGATTATACAAAAATGGATCTTGGCCTTGCTGGGGTGGCAGCGGCAACAGAGGCGGTGGTTGCAAATGCAGTGGGAGGGCTTGTGCCTGCGCCGTCGGCTGCAACTTCCTTTCACGAACAGAGGCTGCCCAGCGGGACACCCACCGAGCCTCCTCACGCCAGATCCCCCAGCGATTTTGACCCGTGACAACCCGCAGCGCGCGAAGGCCGACGGCAATCCGGGTCTTCGCACTGTCTACCTCACGTGTGATCCGCTCCATGTCCATGAGTGCGTTTGGCATGAGTGTGATCAGCTTGGCATTCGTCTTGGGCATCTTCATGGGGCCACCGAGCGCATCTTGCCGCCCGCTGAACGTGGCGGTGCGCGCGTAGGCCGAGGCTGATGGAGGATAGGGCTCGGGGGAGGCCACATCAGACGCACGTAGAAGGGTAAGAATCGCGGCCGAGGCAACTGTTTGCATCTGGGTGAGTGCACGCATAACAATATCCCAGTGCTGAGTGATGGGATCCATTCGTTCCTCAAGATCGGTCGTTGTGCCAATGACTCCGCTGGGAAGCGTGCCGCCACCATGTGCTGTTTCGCCCATCGCGACATCAATGCCAAGGCCGTTTCCACTGCCACCGCCGCTGCCGCTACCGCTGCCGTTCCCACTGTGTCCACCAACAGCAGCCGTGGCAAGGGCCCAGCCCACGCGGCGACCGGACCCATACGACGACGGGAACGAATCTTGTTCCGAGTACGACCCCGGGCCACGGAAGGTGCTTCGCGAAGCTGAAGAGGCCTGCGTCAGGGGTGGTGGAGGCTGGGGCAGGTTCACAACCAGAGCAACCGCGTACATGGGAGTTCGCTTTTGCTTGAGTTGGGCCTTTTTCTTTTTCTTTTGGAAATGCGTATCATCGCTGTAAGTGGGAGGAAAGGGGTAGCCACTGCTTCCGCTTTCTTCCGAAAACCGGCTGTGCGGCGTCATGGTGGTGCTGACATCATCGTCATTCGGAAGCGTGACGGGGAAGAGTCGTGTGATGAGCACCTTCTTTCGGTCGGCTGTTCGAGAGCCAGCGGCGAGTGATGACGAGGATGATGTCGGCGGTGGAAACATGGCGGCAGATTCCGACGAAAAAGACTGCGACAGCTTGCTGGAGCGCATACTGGAGCGGCCAAGGGAGCCACGGCCATCGTGCAGCGCCAACGACGACAGATCTGGCGCACGCTGCTCGGATGGGAGTACATGTACTTTTGTAGACGTGCCACGATAGGCGAGGAGCTCCGAGTTGCCGAAGATGCAGCTCGAGAATACCGAGATTTCCTCGGCGTATTCGCGGTGCGCGCGCTGCGCATCGGTCTCGAGCCGCGAGTGGCTGCGGCTGTGAAGAGACGGCCGTCGATCAAAGGTAGCGCTCTGGCGCAGTTGTGGGTTATCTGGTTGTATCACCAGGGGCCGAGTTGTGTGACTCAGACTCGGTTTGCGCGGGGAAGTGGGCATCCGCCTCGACGCATCCTGCAAACCGTGGCTTAAATGCGCCATGCCGCTCATGGTTGACGGCCGGTCGGGTATAGTCGGGGTCGGCGGCGGCGGTGTAGGCTGTGAGTCGTAAAGTAGGCTTGCCGGCACCGAGCTGATTCCGTCTTGCATGATGAGAACGCGAACGTCTCGCATGTCGAGGTCGAGGTCGCCATCGTAGTCAAACGCAGACGCCAGCGCAGCGGCCGGGAGATGTGGGCTGTTGGGCAGCGGAAAGACCTGATCCTGGTGGTTCTGGAACAGCGTCTGCGCATCAGGGTAGAGAAGACTTCGAGTGTGCAGGTCTTCTTGGACAGACTCGAGTGAAGAGACTGGCTCGGGTGGCGCGGATGGCTGGCCGGCGTGGGAAGAGGGGACCGAACCGGCGCCTGCGCCAGCCGTCAGGTTGAAAAGCTTTCCCAACATGGCCGTTCAAAGAGAGTGCTGGACACAGCGTCCAGCCCAGCAGATCTCTGGTGTGGAGTGCTTTGGGCTGTTGCTTTTTTAGGGTGGTACGCTTTACAGCGGGGGACGGAACGACAAGCTGTGTAAGTGCTGTCTGGTGAAGTCCATTTGCTTGTCTGCAGGGCTGGCAATGCGAAAGGCAGCAACAAAATCGTGTAGGAAGGGAAACCTCGAAACTCGAAAAGGATTCCAAAGGGGAGGTTGATGGAACAAAGAGACTGAGTGAAACAAATAATCAGGACGATATCAGGACAAGGAAACAAGGAATCTCGTAACCGGACAGGATCATACGGTTTGGTGACTGCAGCGGTGAGGAAACGAACGAAGCCGTTGCAGCCAAAAAAGGCTACCTGCTGACACGAAGGTGCCCAGGCAGGAGGACGATGGTGTAATGAGCTAGTGAGAGGCTTCAGAGGACCAGCATACGGCGGTGTCTGCTCTCTGGTTGGTCCTCAAAAAGCCACAAGCAGAGCCTATAAGAACAGAGACAACGGTGTTCTTTCTTGTCCAACACGAAACGATCAGGGTAGGTCGTCCGTATCCGTCGAGCCGCGCTTCTTTACTGTGCTGCTCGATACTGTTGGACAACACCTGACCGCCTCGGATAGTAGTTCAGAGACGGCAGAAGGAGTCACGAAGCGTTGTGTTAGGCACATAAGCAGCTGGCGATTCTTCGATTCGTCTTCCGCTCGATTTCTTTACCACCACAGATGCAGTACAGCATAGAGGAAAGTCGTTCCGTGGTGTCGGATTTTCTTGTCTGGTCCTGCCGTGAGCTTGCCCTAGAGCTGAGCAATGGCTCGTCCTTGGGGGTTCGTTGAAATATGGCCGTGTGCGTACAAGTCCAAGCGACGATTGCGTCGCATGCATGCAAACGCGGGACTCGTGTGGCCAGCGCTGCCCTTATATTTGTTGACGCGTAAGTAATGGCAACGTACGGGCAGGCAACAGAACAAGGCCTTGGCTTTAGCTAGATCAGTATGTCGTAGAAGCGGCAGAACTGGAGTCTCATGTAGGTGTCGTAGGCCGAAAGAGGCAAATAGTAGCGTATCAAGAGGGTCTCAACATTTTCTGGTAGTCCAAAGGTGCTGTTTGACTGGTGATATGGCCCGGCACCGCTGCGTCCCTTCCGGCTGGCAATTTGGACAGCTTGTTGGTTGGCCGGTGATTTATATCAGACGGTTTTTGGTGACGCGGGAGGGTTACTCGCGATGTCGCTAGGGGCAAGAAGGGAGTGATGGAAGACCAAAAAAGCGTTGCCTGTAAACGGGAGGAGATGGTAAGGTAGGTAGATTAGGACAAGACAAAGAAACAAGAAATGCAAGATAGTTATTCCTTGCTAAGGGACAGAGACACGGAAGACGGGCGCGGCTGGCGGAATGATGTAAATATGGAACAACCAGGCCAGGGCGGGAAATGAGATGCGGGCGATTGGTTGGAACAGAGGGATGGGGCAGCTGAAGATCCCCAGATACTGCCAGATGCCGCTCCGTAATGCCACTTTTTGGGGCGTTATGTGTGACGTTTCTGGGTCGTCGAGTATGACGGTCGTGGCGAAGACGGTGATCGCAGCCGAGTCGACCGAATAACCAGGGGAGGGAGAGAGGCGCGAGAGCAAGGCAACGAGAGAATATGGAAGAGAAAACAGGCAGAACTGACGATGACCGATGACTGGTTGTCGCAAATCGACAAATGCGGCAACCAGGCCCGGCTCTATGGGGGAGAGGCGGGATGCACAGAAAACGACGTGCAGAAAGAGGAAGCAGCTCGGAAAAAGGACGAGCAAAAGGAAGCAGAAAAGCAAAGCAGTCGATTGGCCGGCGACGACGACGTTGGACCAGGGCGAAGAAAGGCCAAAGCAGCGGCTTGCTTTGTCTGGCTCCGAACGAGAAATGGCCGGTCGATTTTCTTATTTTTGGACCTTTCTTTTCCGAAGCTAGCTTCTAGCTCCTGGTGAGTGTAGTGTAACAAAGTAGGAGACTCTTTTCTTTCCGTCAAGCCAGGGAGGGATACACCGCCCTGAAAAAGGCACAAAAGTGTGTGCTGTTATTGTATGCCTTGTTGACTAAAGAGTCTCGCATGAAGTTGCTGCATTTACTGTATGTATGTAGCTGCATGCCGCACGCTGCGTTCCGATGCACTGGGCGCATTGGCGCATTCCAAAAGCGCTGCCGACAGAAGAGGATGGGAGACGTGTCTTGGAGCGGCAGCGTCGCGTTCGTGATGTTCTGCTTTCTTTTTTTTGTTTGTTTCTCGAAGCGGTCTGGGATTTTGGAAGAAACAAGATTCTTTCACCTCCTTCCCCCTCTTTCCCTTTTTCTCTCTCCCGTCCTTCTTGCTTTCCCCGTTGTGATGGAAGGCACGGCTGGATTCGCACCCTCTGCTCCTTCTGTCTTGACCATTCCGGCGGTGTGCAAGCCACATCGAAGGGCGCAATTGCCACGTTGGTGGGGTGGGCACCGGCTCTGAAGGTGGGATGGGTGGAGAGAGACATTCGAGGGAAGGAGCGGCAGGCCTGGCCAGGGCCAGGCCCAGGTCATAAATGGGGCAGGCAACTGTCTGCATGCTAGCACGGACAAATTAGGCAGTCGCTACTCGTGCAGCTGTCGCCGTCAATGTCTCATGTGCAGTCATTTGCAAGGAAGGAGCATTATCCCACTGGCGGTCTCGAAGCAGAGGTTTTGCTTCTTCAGTCTTCTTCGTCTTCTTCGTCTTCCCATGCACGACGGAAGAACACCGACTCGACATGAGAAAGCAGGCATATTCAGCCTTTTAGCGGACAATAATAACACCACCCCTGCTGCCGAAAGGATCACTACTCCGTACCGCGTATGGAAAAACCGGCGCACTGCGGCACCCAATATATGACTTATTCGGGTCTGATCATTTAACGAATCAAAAACGTGTTTGGAAAACACATCGAGTAGCGCGCCGTTGACCGTTTCAACATGCCAGCCGACAGTAATACCGGCTTGTGCTTGTGCGCAACCGCTTCCGCGCCAACTGTCAGCTAACTTACTTCGTAGCTGTTCCTTCTCCCCAGCCTCACCATCAAGAAAAGAGGATATCGCGATACAAACCTGTGGTGGTCCGGGCACCGTCCCTGATATTACCCTGCTCATTTCACCAGTGAAATTGCATCGCCAGACCTCTATCAGCCATGGGTCGCGTCCCCTGTTGCCCCAGGGCCAGGCCTCGGCCACGTTGCGGGGGGCAGGCGTGACGCTTTCTGGGACTATTGTGCTGGGGCATTTTGGAGTAATGCAGCATTACATATGGGGATCTGTACCGCTGGGGGCACCGAGCGCTTGGGCAGGACCCGGCCAGACCATGGTCGGATAAAGTGAGATTACTCCCCAAATCAGCACTTCGGTCTTCTAGAAAGGAAGAAAGTAGCAGGGCCAAGACCAGGGTTTGGCAGCACGAGAAGCGGTGAGAACTGCGAAGAAGTAACCGAGCGGAGCGACTTGGCGCGGCAGCAAATCTCGGCGGCGCAATTATGACGCACTGGCTCGAAGGCACACTAATTTGCGACAAAGCATACCCGAAGAACACCGTTTATTTGCCATGGACGGTTGACAAGAAGTACAGAAGAATCGAGAGAGCATGGGTACACATATGGTGCAGCGCGTGCTGACGATGCCGAGTGCGAAGACGAACTCTGGTTACGGAATGCTTTTTTTACTTTGTGTGCTATCTTTACCTGTGTTTGCATTGGCCCGTGAGGTAGCTTTGCATCTTGGGGAAGCTATGGTCAGGAATGGCTTATAAAACAGGGATTTACCATTGGACGTGCCTCTTCCTCGCCAGGTGTTGACTTCCAACGGTTGCAAGGATTGGAAAGATGAATCGTTGGTGAACTGACTGCAAATGAGTTGGGCGGCGCTTTCGATCCAGTCACAGCCGGTGCTCAACTTCAACCAATCTGGACAGCCATCGATAACTGGCCGTTGTGTGTGGAAAGCTTTTATAACTCAAGACGCACACTTACTAATGCACATCCTTTTCCAGGTTTCTAGGGTACCATCGCAGACAATCTACAAAAGAATAGGTGGAAGCTCGAACGGCAGCACTCAAACGTTGGCTCGCAATGGTAAGCTGACCGAGACGAAGAAAAAACATGTGGGTGCTTGCGTGGGACTCTTGTGTTATGCGGGAAGGAAGCCAAGAGTGGGCATATGCAATGATGGCGGCAGATCCTACAGCCACGAGGTAATATATCTTTCAACGGAGAGAAACGTGGTGCCCAACCTCTTTGCATTTTGCAAAATATTGGCGAATTATGGTAAGTTGTGGATGGCAAAGGGCTCCCAATAGGTGCACACAGCACACATGTGTGCACCTATTGGGAGCCATGGCAAAGAGCCATACCGTTTGAATTCAAGCTACTGGTATTGACATCTTACTATGTTGCTAGCCCTGACTCTTCAACTTCAATCTTCCCAGTACCTCTTATACCCTCATTTTCTCGTTGAGGGTAGTTATCAAAGTTCCAGCATCCTCGTTTGATCGCAACTACCTCACACAACTAGTACCCTTCGCCGCTAGACATGGCCTTCTCGACAACCTCCAAACCTTCTTGTCTAAATTCAAAGAGGTTGGTGCCTTACTATTTTCCGCCTATGAGTTTTGACACTATGGTTCGCCCACTGTACGTCGGCTCGTCATGTGCCCATATCGGCTTTTGCCACCCTTTATCGTTGTAGCTGCTCATGATTCAGCAATTGGTATCACACGCCTGATCATCACCAGTAGAACTTTAATTGAAATTCTCAATGTGGCTGTTCTTATAATGGCACGCTTTATCACCTATGGGATCTGAAAACTTGGTGGCTGATTCTCTTGACACAAGCGAAATCGAGCGAAGACGAGCGCATAATATACCTTTGGAACAAGATGCCGCCAAAGCACAAGAAGAACCAGAGCGACGCCAGCTTGGGGCCGCAAGACGACGAGCAAATGTCCATTTTCTTTCACAAGGAATGGGAAGACTACGGCTACATGTCAAACTACAAGCCGGCCAAGCTTTCCGCGCCGGACCCGGCCATTGCTTGTGCCTCCTGGCTGCTGGCCTCTCCTCGAACCGCAGACAACAATGATGCAGACGAAACGCCGCCCAACGATGCGCCCACCATCGAATTCCAGCACTCCGAGCAGTACTACATGTACTGCAAAGCTGCATGCTTTGGAGACACCGTTGCCTGCCAGCGCATCCTGGCTGCTACCAAGGCCAGCGACTGCAAAGACATCGCCCGGACCGTCCGCGGCTTCGATGCCGCCGTCTGGAGCCGCAACGACCGCCCTCTGCACGTCATGGCCGACGCGCTCTGGCACAAATTTGGCGGTGCACACCTTCAGCACGTGATTGACGACGGCGGCGACTGGCTCGGGCGCGAGGCGCGAGCGCAGCTGCTCCCGGACATTGGCCGCCAGCTGCTGGAAACCGGCGACCGGCAGCTCGTCAAGGCCGCGGGCCGCGACTCCTACTGGGGCATCGGCTACGGCATCAAGTAACGGCCAATGCAGTACCGGACATACTGGGGCAAGAACCATCTGGGGAGGAGTCTGGTCGCGGTGCGAGAGAGACTACGGACGTTGGTCGAGAGTGCGCCGTGAAGGAGAGGGGGGGGGGGTTTAGCCACGTCATGATACCCACGATACCCACGATACCCGTTGTTTCTACGACTTCTTAGTCTTCGTCAGGAGCCGTTACGTCAAAGACATGCACAACAGAGATAGAAAAGGATGCTCCTTGCAGCACAGCATTTGCGTTATTGTGCTACCTCAATCTCTGCACGCTCTTAATCCGTATTATATCCTTTTTATGTTTTCTACTGCTATAATAATAAACATGCAACTGTATCGCCTTCTCGGCCTCATTACATAAACTCGTTCATTCCTCAAGTCCTTGTTTTTGTAATATTGTAGCTACAGGCATCATTATTGGTCGTATTGATACAGTCAATTTGTTGCGTGTCGATACCAGTATACAGCGGAGGAGAACAAGTCTTCTCAATAGCTAAATAGGAAATAAATATTTAGGAGGTCGGGTGCTTTTTTAATCTTGAGTTGCTGGATACAGAATATAGCAAGCAGGTGCTCATGATTATGTTGCGTGTATGTTGTAGATTGATAGCAGCTCCATGCACGGAGGCATTTCCTTGCATGATAATCACCCTCCTGCTTTGCCTGCCTGAAGCCTTATGTCGTAGTGTTGTCCCAACCGCGTTCTTCTGTAACCACCGATCGAGCCAGGCCGGTTTTATCTAGTTTGGCCTTTCCTCAGCTACTTACTTACAGCACATGAGGTTCTCACAAAGTGTGCCACACGGGATCTGGCAACCGCTCGCCTCGGTCCGCCGCCTACGGATGACCGAGACTGCGTTCGATGGCCGTCTCCGTGCGGAATCGCTGCTGCTGCTGCCATTGTTGTTGCTGTTGCTGTTGCTGCTGCTTCTGCTGGCACCGTTTGTGCCTTGAGAGTCCGCTTCATTGCAGACACCGTGTTTGTTGTTGCTGCTGCTTCCTGCAGTAGCTCCGGTAGCCCCATCATCGTCCACGGCGACACTGTCACCCTTGGACAAAACAACTGCAATCTTGGACAGAGTGAGATCATCTTTACCGCCCCCAGGTTCTAGAGACGCGACACCGCCCATGTTGCCGCTGGTCTGGCCGGCCAGGGATACTTGCGACGAGTACGACAGCTCGGGCTGCAGCGTAGCCGAGTGTACACCGTAGGCATGCAGGCACTCGCTAACCGTGCGTGCCTTCTCCATGAAGCTCGACACCGTCTGGTCCGAGACGACCACGTGTGCCGAGGCAATGGCTTTTTTCTGGTCCAGCCGCCAAATGTGCAGCTCGTGCACCGACTCGATGCCCGGGATCTTTTCAAGGTCGTGCTTGACATCCTGGATGTCGACACCGCGCGGTGCGCTCTCGAGCAAGATGGTGCCGCTATTCTTGACGAGCGGGATGGACGACAGCAAGATCATGAGGGCAATGCCAATACTGACGCCCGGGTCGGCGTAGTAGCGGCCCGCATAGTGCGTCTTCCAGATGACGACAGCGGCAATGATGACGCCAACGTTGTTGGCGGCGTCACCCAGGACGTGTACCATGGCGCCGAGCATGTTGAGATCGCGGCCGGAGCCCTTGGTCTGGACGGTCAGGTGGCGGTGCTCGGCGTGGGACTCGTGCAGCTGGTCGTCGTCGTCGACGTGAACGTGGCCGTGCTCGGACTCTTCGTTGGGCGCATGATTGTGGCTGTGGCCGCCGCTGCCGCCGCCGTCACCGTGGTCGTGGTCGTGTTCGTGCAAAAAGACGGCCGAGATGACATTCAGGCCAAACCCGACACAGCCCATAATCAGAACGAGCTTTGGGTTCTCGACCTCTGTGAGAATGTATTAGCGCATGTGATTTTCTTTTCTAAAAACATAATGAATCATTAATGGATATTGTCTCGAAAAGGAGGACCGACTTTGAAGCGTAATGAATCTCTCAATGGACTGGAGAAAGATGCTGACGCCAAGCGCCAAGAGGAAGACGCCGTTGAAGAAGGCACCAAGAAGCCGGGCACGCTGCCAGCCAAACGACAAGTCTTGCGGGAAGTCTGACCGTTCCGATATCTGATGGTGTTAGCAATCTCCCCATACTTAACATTGGCATTTGCTGGCTTTGGTATGCGATGGGACTTACAACGATAGCAACCAGCGCAACTATGAATCCTATCAGGTCGTTCATCTGGGCGAACTGTGTCAGTCGTCGATATATGCCAGACGGATACGTTTTGTTAAAGTGGACCATTTACATAATGGAAGGCATCGGCAAGAAGAGCCAAGGATTTTGTCATGAAAGCAACTGAAAAGGTAAAAAGGTCAGAAAGAGCGCCAATATGGCAAAAGACAGGGATGCTTGTTCAAGCATGCATACCAATAATTTCAGCGACAAAGAACGAGAACGATATCGCAATGGTCGCCATAAGGCGCTTCTTGGGCGTGAGATGGAAGGCCATGGCGGCAGGCGGCCAGTCGAAGCGAGGTAAATGTGAGGCTGGAAAAAAAGAATGTATCGTTGATCGCGATGGAGTTGGAAAAGTTGCGAAGCGAGGCAAGAAGCAGTTGACAATGAAAGAGGAAGGTGGGTCCCCTTTCACTTGCCAGTGGACGAATCTGGAAGGAACAAGGCGAGGCGAAAGCGAAGTCACCTCGAGTTGGACTGGACAATGAGACGAAATAAAAAATCTAAACGGATGGAAGGGAAGAACAAGAAGACAGAAGATCGACTTTAAAAGAGTACCGCGACACGAATGCGACAATGCTGCCCACCCTCGTTCAAAACGTAAATCAGGGCGATCGATCACGTTCGGCTGATTGGCTACCGGACTTGAAGGGCAGGAGCGGAAGAGTGAGGAGGTGTTCGCAACAGGAAGGCTCGACCAGTGGCAACTGCAGAACAACCTGGCGATGGAGAAAGGCGTATAAGAGATTATGAAGAGAGCTCAATGAAGTGAGCAGCGAGAAGAGAGCAAATATCAAGAGATACACGCCACGCTGCGTACGAAAGACGAGATGGAGCACACAAGATATTCATGTGATGCAGGAGAACGCAAGGAAGGGAACAAAACACCAGGATGCGTTGGCGTCACTTGATCGGCGGATGCGGAGACGTCGAGAAGTTGAAACAGAAACCGCCGAATTTGCGACGGGTCGGTAGTTCTCTGGTGTGTGCTCGTTCGTGCGTCACTGGTTCCCGCGTTAGGCGCACTTTGGGGCCGGCGAGCGCGACTCGAACGTCCATTTGCCACGGCACCAGCCTAGTACGTTTCGGCTGGTTTCTTCTCAGGCTTCCACATTCTCGGTTCCAGCGTTATTCCATTATTATTTTGGCGGGTTTTATCACGTCCGAGCTGTTTCATCTCGTTCACAGTGTAGAAACGACAAGATATCTCCGAGCTGACTTCAGGACCGTAACTGCGTCACGATGCGGAAATGCAGACAGCCGACCCACCGACAGCCAACACACATGCGCCACAATGATTGTGTATCTAACACATGAGCCAGCACGACCACCAGCACCTCACTAGATCCAGGCTTGGCACGGTGCCTCTGTGTTGGGCGCCCACCCAATTGCCCGACGCAACTGATTAAATCCATCGACCTTGCTCTTCACCGGGGGCCGCTCTCGGCTGCGAGCAGCTCGTCCCACCGTTGCCCGTGCACTGTGCGCGGCCCTGTGCGTCCTTGTGCCATCATGGATGGGCTCGCCGTATCCGTCCTTTGAAGAGCAAGCGCGATATCGCGTTGGCGTTGCCTGCTTTCGTGTAATTCACTCACAATTGGTAGACAGTCGGAGAATTCTAGCGCTGGCCGTCCGCATTGCTCTGACAGCTGTGTGGCACAAGACAAGTGTGTCATGTTGAACGACTGGAAATAAGACAACAGTACCGAGTTCTTCGGCCAGAAATGTCATGGTGTACATTCGTTGGTTGAATTCGCAATATGCAAACGTACCTACGTCGCTCTACAGCCAATTCGCATACTGGACGACATGCTGTCGATGCGCCGATTGCAATTGCACCTGCCATGCAAGCTGTAATTACAAAATAGGAAGGCGGTGAGTCAGCCGTCCAATAGCCCGCCAGCAACTACATTCTGCCGCCATCACGCACCTGCTTGACCCTTCACAGCAGCGTCGAGCTCCCAACTGTACCTCATCCACGATTGGCCGCACGTACCACCGTGACCTGGCAAACGACATATGTGAAGCGGCCGCATACCATGCCACATACCATCCCGGCAGCCTGCGCACACGCCCGCTGCCGATGACGTCCTGATCGCGCCTTTGCCCGCCGCTGACGCGACAATGTCTCGCAACGGATTCTCGCCGGCGCACTCGCGCAAGGCCGGGCCACCTCGCTGGGCCTCGCACCTTCGCCAGCTGAGCCGCAACAGTGCCGAATCCGTGCCCACCGATGCCTCGCTGAGCGGTGGGCCCGTCCCGTCGACGGGCAGCCCGCAACCAACCAACCCGCCCACCCATCCGCCTCCATCGTTCCATCACCATCTCCTCCAGCACAGCCGTCCCCGTTCGTCGACACCCCCACGCCGCGCCCGGTCCCCCGACACCATGTCGAGCAACTCCACCATCCGCGAGGCCAGCCCTGCCAAGGGCCCACAGCCCGCATTTGAACGCACCTGCTCCGTCACCGTCAATGAATCGTTTGCCCGCGACGAGGTGCTCATGAACCTCGACCACTTTGACGACGACGTGCAGCTGGGCCAGCTCATGGCCATTGATGTCCTACCCGAGCAGCGGCCGGGGTTTGGCAGTACGGGCACCGGGGGCAGCGGCACCAACAGCAACAACAATACCGTCCGCCGTCCTAACGCGGTGGCCGGACGCAAAGACGACCAGGCCTCTGGAACAACAGGATCCGCAGGGGGAACACCAGGAGATTCCGGAGGAACGGGAGGAACGGAAGACGGCACAAGCACAGACACCGGCACGGGCCCAGG